CGGTAATTTTGCTTTAATACTGAATTCAAGGTCAGTGGAAATAAATGTTCTTGTGGGGAAAGTCTGATTGAGGCAGATTTCAGTTGTTATAGTTTCTGACCACAGCTGGACAGAAGCCCCCGCATGTGTTTATTTACAAGGCATCCTTTGGCAGCTTCATCCTCACCTTTGAACACGTGGCTTACAGGTTGAAATCTGTCACTTTGGGTTCATGACATCACCATAACTTGCTCTGACGTTTGATCTGGTGCCCACTTGTCCCAGTAGTGAGTCTTTATAGTCACAGTTTGTGGGTCAGTTATACTTCATTAATTTATACAGCAAAGACCCAAGCTAAGAGAGGTCATGAAGATTCTTGATAGTTCTATTTGATGCAATGATTCATGATTTTATTTGAAAACAGCATCATTGCCTGTAAAATTAGAGGCCGGAAATGGAAGCATAATTTCTGAAGTGGCAGGTCAGAGGAGAGGAAAGGCCAAGTCATCTGCTAGGTGAAGCTGTCGTGACAGGGCATTTGTGTGACATGATCTGGAATCTGGAGAAACTGAGGATTACTTTAACGCACAACCCACAGTTACGCTGTACTCCTGGGCGCTGCCCTTGAGGCCGGCACACTGAGCTGGCCTCTGGCTGATGCGTGGCGGCTCTGAGAGGGCCTCAGTGAGTCACAGAAGAGTCTGTGAATGTGCTAAGTATCTTCTATTAAACTGGGACAGAAAAGCCATTTTCCATTGCTGTTTAGCTTTTCCACCCTCAGCCTGACTTACAAAGCTGGATATATAACCACACACATCGACCTAGAACTCTGCCCTATGATGCTTTGTCTCCGAGAGCCTCTCTTCTCCCTCTGTCAGTTGTCAGCAGCACCGCTGTGGCATGACAGGCTGGGTCATTCCCCGGCGTGGGTGGAAAACCCCTCCTCTCCCCAATACAGGAGAGAGTGTATTTCTGTCCTTGACTCACTGTTTTCTTTCTTCCTTTCTTTTCTCTTTTCCTCAGTCTTAGTACCAGACAGACCATTTCTATTTAGCTCTGTTCTTTTATTCCTGAGACACTTGGTGTGCTATTCAGAGTGATGTGTTTGCACAGAGGAACACAGGTAGGAGCTCACGCCAGGTAATAAGATGTGCTCCCAGAGAAATTTCAGGTCCGGCATACTGTTTTCCTTCACTTCAGCTGGTCAAAGATAACAAAAGGCAGTCGTTTTTCCCTTTTGAAAAAATTTTTTTTAATACTACCACAGTTGAAGAATGTATTGACTTTATTTTTTTACATTTCATCATATTTTATTTATTTATTTATTTTCCTTTTGAATTTTTGACAGAGGCAGTTCAGGTAATAAGCAAAGTGACGCTCTGATTGTGTCTTGGCAGTTGTAGAATGAATCACAGAAAGTGACTACAGAATACACAGTAATAAAGTCAGACATTGAACACTGACTTTAATAAGCCTATGCAGACACTGATGCCACTGTCAAGGATGAGACGTTCACTTACACAAGGGGAGGGTGCTAAAACTTAATATTCTATTAGCAAAGAAATTAAGGGCAAAATTACATAGACACATTGAAATATTTCTACTTAGCATGAGGTACAACAAGCCTAACTACCTCTTTCTCCTGCTTTCTCTCCTCTCACAATCTATATCCTTAGGGCTGAGTGACAAAGGGAGAGGTTTAGAATAACCACAGTTATCATGCTGATAAAGTCTGTTTTAATTATCCAGTATCTTCTGTTTTCTCCTTATATATGAGGATTCTGAGTTTCAGAAAGGTTCTGTCCAACACTGGTCAGTTTGCAACTTTCAGACCCAAGACGTAAGAGGAATTTTCACCTCCTTTTATCCTTCCATTGTGACAGCATGACATTTCTGAGTGACATCTGTCAGGATCTAAAAATTACAGGCAGCATCTCTCCTTCCAGCTTATCTTAAGTAAATTCTACCCTAAACCAAAGCTTCAGTTCCTCTAAAACTTACACTTCTTTATTCCTCAAGCTACACCTAACCAAAATGTTGAAAGAGCCTGATTCAAATTTCTATTCTGAAACACCATCCAGAGATACCTGAATATGTGTATATTTTAACCGAGAAAATGGATGTGTGTTGCATTAAATGCAATACATGCATGAACACAGACACATACCTTAGATCACATTTTATAATGTAATGTACCATTATAAAGAAAACAATAGTTTTACAGAATAAAAGTAACTATGGCAACATACAGATTCAAGTCAGGCTGCCTCCCAGGTGGTGGCAGCAGTCTCCAATTTCCTCAGTAACCTTCCATTGAATTGTGTTTTCCACACACACATTTTTGGGGTGCATCAACTGAATTTCCTACTTAATGCTTTCACTTTTACTTTTCTGTGTTGATCACAGAATAAGCTGATCAGGCAAAATCCTTTGGGCTTGTCTGTTTCACTGTAACCTACTTAACTTCTTGCATTTCAGAGACTGCCAAATCTTGTAGGACTCCACCCCCTCACTTTTTTGCTACCCACTGGTCAGGAGGACTTAAGACAGTTTGGAGGTAAGAGGTAGTTTCAGTACAAAATCCTCACATTGACTACCAATGAGTAGTCATCCTGATGGACCTGTAGATCCCTCACCCCCAAATTTGCTGAATACAGAATATTTTGGTAAGAGGAAAACGTGACTATAAACTAAATTCTTTGAATTTTCAAGTGAGGCTGAGTTCCATAATGAGTCAAAATTTTTTGAGATTAGGATCTGTCCTGTTTTATGGTGGGATGAGAAATGGCAACAGCAACACCTCAACTAGACACATCTTTAACGTGCAAGGCACTGTTTGAGGTACACAGAGAGGCTAAGAGGTAAACGAAAACTTGGGTCACATTAAAAATATAAGTAGAAGCAGAAGTATAGACATAGGTGTGTTTTGTGTATGACACATGATGAAATCCATAAGAAAGCCACAAATAAAAGGTTTTAAGATTTTTAGGAATCTTCTTGAAGAATTTTGTGATGTATATTAAGAACTTGGAAAAAGTTAGAATTACTACACAGAACTAAAAAAAGCCTGCCTGGGGTAAAGTTTATGTGGAGAATAATACTTGGAGATAAGACTGAGTGAAGAGGGTCCATCGCTTGGAATCTATAATTTAGTAATCAAATGAGAACCACTTAAATTTTTGAAAAAGTATATGGAAAAAGCTAATCTAGAATTTTGAAGTTGGCTTGTCTGCTAAACTACTATAGGAAGAAAAGAAGTAGCTGAGAGATGAAAAAGATATCTATGATAAAATAAAGGGAAATATTAGGGCAGGTGCAACTGAAATGGAGCTATGATAAAGACAGAATATTGACATGAGTAACCAATTTGGTCTAGAAGGAAATAAGAAAAAGGTAAGTGAAAAATGAATGACCCAGTACTGAAAGTGACAGCAATATATTTTTATTAATTTATTAATTATTAAGTTATTAATACAAGTAGTGAACTTACTCCTGTATTCATCAAATAAGTACTGAGCACTTACTTTGTGTCCCCAGTATTACTTTTCGCTAGACACTTAGCCGTTAAAAGAGGTACAAGGACTAGTTAGGGAGACAGTGCACTTCCCGTTCTGCAGAAAGAGCTGATCAGACATCAAGTCACCAATTGTCAAGAGAGTTCTGTAGTTCACAGGGAGATTGTGCTGCAATGTCTAGAGAGAGAGACTGATAGTTGAGGCTATAGAAAGGGGTGAGATCACTAAGAAAGAAAAATTCTTGGGGTGAAGAGATAAAGTCCAAGAACAGATGTGAGGGTAAACACCACCCATGACTTGGAGGGGTAGGAATGACTGGCAAAGGGCTAGTCAAAAATCGAATGAGGAGAGTCAAGCCAGCATATAACAGGGGTGACAAGGCAGCATCTGTGACCACCCAGCTCCTGGATGTTCCATAGCACCAAGTTCTTGAGAAAGTAAGCAGGGGACACCCCTGGATAAGGACATCACATGATTGCTTCAAGAAGCCTCCATGCAGGTAAGGGGCTGGAGTCCAGTTAGGGAGTGGGGGAGGGGTGACAGATGTTTGGTTGGGAAGAGAACAGTGGAAAGAAGCCAGAGAGGGTAACCATACAGTTAATGTCTGTTTGAAGACCTACGTGTCAGGTCCTAAGCATTTTAATCCCAAGCATAATACAACTCTTGAGAGAATGTTTTTGATCTTCTTTACAGATCCAAAAGGGAGACGTACCAGGTTAAGGAACTTGCCCTACCTCATCTAGCAAATAACCCCTATTTGAATCCAGGAAATCTGGCTTCAGAACTCCTGGCCACTCAGTTATACTGTGAGGCTGGGGACACTTAGGTTTGTGGGGAATAGGAAAGCTCAATAATGGTCAAAGTGCGGGGATACAAGGGACCTCTCAGGCACAGGTTTCCTGGAAAAGAATTAAAGAGAAGGAAGAGTAGCATGATTTTTCCAGCTCAGAGGCACACAGGTGTGGGTGCTGAGTGGTCTTTGTCCTTTCAGTGAAGCAAGAAAGGAGGCTATTGGCTCAGGGTACAAAATAGGGGGCCCTGCTTGTGACGAGGAGGCAAGGGAGAGGCTGGGAGTACCCTCTACATAAACCTCATTAGCCATCTTGCTTTCTCAATGAAAAGAGTATTTCACAACAGAAAAGGAAACATCACCAGGTGCACACAAATCCATCAACAAACTTTACCCAGACCTGCACAAGTATAGTGACAGGCACCCAGAGGACACTCCATATGGGCAGAACTCAGTATGAGGTGGTGCAGGAGAACTAAAAGGCAACTTCTAATCTCATTGATATTCTCTCTGTCAAGTGGCTTTAATGGCAAAAAGAAACAAAGTACAGCCCACCTAACTCAACAGCATACTGATGTACACTTTTCCTTTGTGTTTTCCTTGCGAGAAGAGCTTGCTATTTAAAAACTGTGACTAGGTGATAACGGAAAAGCACAATTTTCTCTCCACCCCAGTCAACCCTACATATTTCACTGTGTGTTTGCAAGTAAAAATACCTGTTGCCATGCACGTGAGAGGCGCAGAATGCAAAGCTGTAATGGAGTAGGGTCGGGTCAATGACAGCACCATTTTCTGAATGTTCCATCAGTTCTGTAAGGTAGCAGAGATGTCTGTGACAGCCTCTCACGCCGTAACGGGCACAGTATTCATCTAACACAAAGACTTGGCCAGGGCTAAACCAACCCTGCAAAAGAAAAAAAAGAAAAAAATTCCTTCTGAACTAGGATTTGCTTTCCTGTAGGTATTGTCAACTCATAAGAAGTTGTGTTAATGTGTTTGTTTCAGTTGTTTTGTTTTATCTTCTCATACCACACTATAGAGGTTTCAGGAGTATATTTTCTCATTTCAGACACTACATATAATTCACTAGGCCACCTCCATGTGCTGTCAACATCTAACACCAACCAATCAGTTCCCTCTACTCTCTTTTGTCCCTCTGGTACTGTGATTCTGTTGTCAGAAACTAGAGTTTGTTGTTTGCATTTTTTTTTTTTGGTCTTCTGCAAGTTAAGTGGAGTCATATGGTATGTCTTTCACTGATTTATTTAACTTCATGTAATCCTCTGAAGTTCTCTCCATGTTGTAGCAAATGGTAAGACTTTTTTTTTTAAAGATTTATTTATTTATTCGTACAGAACTGGGGTACAGATCAGAGATGCAGAGGGTGAGAGGATTCACCAGAGACAAGAGTGGGGAGCAGAACAGGCAGATCAACGAAGTACACTGCTGAGGGGAGCAGTGGGTGGGTCAGGAGAGGTCTGCCGCGCCATGTGGTCAACTTCGGGGCAGGCGGGAATCGAACTCATGTGGAAGTGGTTTAAGCTTCTTTGTGCTGTGCTTTAACTTGCTTCACCACCAGGGAGAGCCGCAAATGGTAAGACTTAACCCTTTAAATGGCTGAGTAGTATTCCACTGCACATCTGTGCTCACGTGTGGGGTGTACACACTATCTATTCTTTCTAATGCCATCTGTTAATGGGCACTTGCCTTGTTTCCATACCTTGGCTATTGTGAATAGTCCTGTAATGAACATGGGGTGCAGTAAGTAGAATTACTAGGTCACAGGGTAGTTATGTTTCCCATTTTTTTTAGGAATTACTACATTGTTTTCCATACTAGTTGTATGAATCTACAGTTGTACAACAGTGCCCCAGGATTCCTTGTAGTTCATATCTTTGCCAATATTTATTATTTCTTGATTTTTCTTGATTGTGAACAGCCACTCACAATGAGGTGATAACTCATTGTGGTTTTGATAGAGACAAGTTTTCAATTAGTGGTATGTTTCATGTTACTTTCAAAAGAGCTAATGTCATCAATCTTGGAACTGAAGTGAGGCACTGGAAACTTAATATTACCCTACCTAAATTGCCCCAACAAGGCAGGGACAACGTGTTCTCCGGGATGAGTCAAATTTATACACCACATCTAAATTTTCAGTCACAAAGTTGGCATTAAAAAAAAAAAGTCAATCTCTGTATGAATCAACTAAACAGAGAATAATAAAACAGACAATAAATGAAATGACCTGTTGACTGAAAGTTTGAAAAAGAGCTGAAAGAAAATTTCAACTCTACCACTTATTATGTGGGGATTTAAGTATTTGGGTAGTGTTCTTATTCTGCTTGTCTTTTCATAACCAATGTAACAAAGTTAATGTTTATAGCAGTGGTATCCACTTCGCTAGAAGTGAGGTGTTTGTCTGGGAGTGAGTAGGACCAAGTGAAACAGCACAGTGTTTGGCTAACATTTGAGGACAGGGGTTGGGAATAGCAGTTTAAAAAACAGTTCAGTGGATTATGTTGACTTATATGAACTAACTTAAAGAGAAAAGGGTGACAGGAACATTTTAAAAGGGGGCAGAGAAGAATGGGGAGAAAAACAAAAAGATGAACTACATAAAGAAAAGCAGAGGAAAAAAGAATACTACCATATTTGGTGAGGGGACGTTACAGGGACTGTTCTAGACACACTACACATCTTTAATATTTAGATTTATCAGGCATGGCAGTTACTTTGATCTCCATGTTTTAGATACATAAGCTGAAGTGAAGAGATGCTCAGTGAGCTGCTCAAGATCACTCACTCCGAATCACTTGCTATGACTTAAATCCAGACAACTTCTGGTCACGCGATGCTCACTGCCCTCGTGCTGCTGGACTCACGCTCTGGCACTCTCCTCAGACTCCTCAGGGCACCCGGGGTTGTCCATATAGTAAAAATAACTTCTGACAATTTGGTAACTAACTCCACTCAGTCCAATCCAAGAGGAAAGTGTCCCTTATTAACGTTCACTCTCTGTGAACTATGTTCAGTACCAAGAGATTAGGTGGTGATAGAAATAGGCATATTTTGGTTAGAAGATTTCAGAGGACTTGTCACTGACAATATACACCGACCACAGAAAGGCAGCTATGATTCCCAAGCTATAGTTAAACACTCATATTCTGAGGAGTTAATACACACACCTTCCAAAGGTAAACTTTCTTTAAGTTTTGGTTCATTTCAACCTGTACCAAGTAGTAGCTTAGTTATATAACTTAAGACTTTTTTAAAAAAAAAATAAGGATTTCAAATGATCTTTGGAGGACTAAATGAAGCCAAAGCTTTCCTTGGTTATATATAGTCCCCTTCAGATTGCTATCTCAGTCTCTTTGGTTGTCTTTCTGGGAACAAAAGAGAGAAATAGAACAACATCATTTGGTGAACAGAATTTCAACCTTAAAATATCTATGGAGGTGTTAGTAAATCCTCCACAGCGTTTTTTTTTTTTTTTAAATCTTCATTAGAGCCTTCTATTTTCATTCAACCCTCTCCAGAGGGACTGACAAACCAGAGTCCAGTGTCTGTTTGAGTCTAATCTCCTGTCTATTGAGTGGCACAGCGGTGGTCTTCAAGTGTATAATTTTCAAATTGGGACACAATCGATTGCGATCCTTTATCCTTAACTCCAACTACAGTTATGAAATAAGTCAGGAATAACATTTCACCCCATAACAAGCACTTCTCACTTTTAAAAACCTTTCTTCTAACCTCTGGGGGACTAGATAGACAAACTGTACTCTCTACTCACCAAGCAAGAATAGGAATCATTCAGTCTGTGATCCAAAGTCTGTCTCTGGAGTAGTCTAAAAAGGAAGGCGTGGTCAAGTTTGCAAGGATTTGCAGAAATAAACTCTTCCACGCCATGCTTCTGAAAACGGTCTGCATCTATAAATTTAGAAAAGCAAATACAAAACATTTATTTTTCTGATTTACTGGTAACAATTGCCAATTCTGAAGAACACAAAATGCATGCCCTGTGATAACAGAACACTACCTTTTATGTTGTAAAATATAAAACCAAGAATCCAGCACAATGACCTAAATCACAACTTTTTTTTTTTTTAAGATTTATTTATTTGTGCATACAGAACTGGGGTACAGGCCAGAGGCTCGGGGGCGGCGAGAGGGTTCACCAGAGACAGAGCGGGGAGCAGAACAGGCAGATCGACGAAGTACACTGCTGAGGGGAGCAGCGGGCGGGTCAGGAGAGGTCTGCCACGCCATGTGGTCACCTCCGGGGCAGGCGGGAATTGAACTCATGCGAAAGCGGCTTTAGATTTTCAGTGCTGTGTTTTAACCCGCTGCGCCACCAGGGAGGGTCCCACAACTTCTTTTTTTTAAAGATTTATTTATTTTTTTTTTTTATTTGTGCATACAGAACTGGGGTACAGGCCAGAGGCTCGGGGGCGGCGAGAGGGTTCACCAGAGACAGAGCGGGGAGCAGAACAGGCAGATCGACGAAGTACACTGCTGAGGGGAGCAGCGGGCGGGTCAGGAGAGGTCTGCCACGCCATGTGGTCACCTTCGGGGCAGGCGGGAATCGAACTCATGCGGAAGTGGCTTCAGATTCTCAGTGCTGTGCTTTAACCCGCTGCGCCACCAGGGAGGGCCCCCACAACTTCTTTTTAACGGAAGTAATGAGGCATTATAACATGTAAGCTGTGGTATTATATATGTTATAACATATATGTTGCTGCTATACAGTATGACCCTTGCTTTTGAAAGCTTCAGGAAAAATGACAGGAAAAATCCACAAATTATTGGGAACAAGAAAATTCAATTTTTATTCAAAACTACTTCTAGTATGCATCATAAAACAATCTTTTACTTTCCAAATTTTAGTGGAAAGCATTTTATATATGTATTTACTTAAAACCTGGCTGGAAAAGGTATCTTCATGAAAACCAGCAATGAGGGCTCTGAGCCAGCTTTCCAAGTGGCGAACTAGGGCAGAAATGAGCACGCAGGCTCCAGCTGGGTCACTTCCAGTCTTTTTTTTTTTTTTTTTGTATGGAGCTTTTAATGGGACCAACGTTAATGTAGAAATGGTAATGAATGCTCTCCAGCTTCAAGTTTAAGAGACATGAAAAAGGGAGCATCATGTTTGTGCAAATACGCAGACAAAGCATAACGTCCCAAATGGCACTTCAACCAAAAGCCCAAATGTATTGTTCTTTATAGATTGTGTCTTTCAACGCCTGTAGACCCCGCGGGTTTATCAAAAGGCCAGCTTTTGTGATGGCTTTCATTAATGGTATGTTTTGTCAAAGTCTTCAATGCAAGTTATTTACTAAGGATAGAGAGGAAAAAGCCACACACCATCCCAAAGGAGTGCTGGGGTGTTACTACATTAGCCCTGCCAGACATAGCTTGCATTGGGGACGCCATCAGTCACCGAGACAGAAGTGGACTTTCCTCCCTCACAATGGTGGCGCTCTGGCTCCATTGTTCCTGAAAATTCACAGACAGACCTCATTCTGGTCATCACAAGGAGCAAGGGTCTCAATGTAAGCTAAATGTAGTTTTCAAAACCTATACAGTACAGTTCTAGAGTTGCAAAGGAAAGGAGACAAAAGTTTATTGATTAAGTCCAATTATAGAGTCAGGCTCATAATACAACTCAATATTGATCTGTGGACATGATGCTAACATAATCAGTCACATTTAGATATTTAGCCCAGATCATATTGATCCATGTCAAGTTCAACTTTCAGCCATATTTGTAGATGGAGGAACTATATAATTCAAGCTGAAGGGTCTTCAGAATCACATTAAAAAAAAAAAGATACACAAGCTAATTTATCTCTCTCATCAGTGACAGATAGCTAAAGATGGGCATAGCAAGTAGGCAATAAATGGCTATTCACTGAAGATGAGGTTATGACTCATGGAGAAAGTAGTACATGTAGTGCTTTACAGATAATAATTACTTACTTGAATGATCAAATAGATTAATGTCACAAGTTAGTATTAATGGAGGAATATAAAATGAAACTGCTTTTCCTGAACTAAGAAATGAGAAAATTCAACTTGTATTTTATTCTTATATCTGAGTCTCATAATTTAGCTAACTATCTGATAATGTGAAATAATATTAAATGAGTAAGAAACAGAATATTGAAGAATGGGAAGTATGTATTATTTTGTATCTTAAAGAATTTATCTTAGGATCTTCATTTCTCCATTTATCTGAATAAAAACATCTTTTAGTAGCACCTTTATGAAATTAAATTACTACTTTTATAAAACATTTGCTAAATTTTTATTCACTATTTCTTTCACCAGAGAAGGTCATAACTAGAAGTTAAAAATAACACTACTAATAGCTTATCTGTTGAAAACAGGACTTGTAATACATTTCAGAAGAAAGAATTTCATAATTCTTCTTTTACTATAAAGGTTTTTAGAAACAAATTTTTACTTTAAAACATGGTATATAGTTCAAAGTAAACTATGTAAGTTGCTGGGGGATATCTGTGGTTTATCTCTACAATTAAATCATATTTTCAAGCAGAAATTTACTTTATGCAACATTTTTATCATGAAACAGAACTCTAAACTATAGATTCTAATGTGCGAATCACACAATGAAAGGAAAATTAATTTTCCAATAATTACCATTATTGATAAAAATAATATTCACATTAGCAACTTAATCCACAAACAGGCAAATCAACCCACTAATGTTTTTATTAAAAAAGAAATCAACAATCTCTCTGGGGCTGTAATCCAATGAAAATGAAATGTCCTCTTGAGGATACTCAGCTTCAAAATGGGTTTATAAGGAGCAGGCATACCTTTTTCCTTTTATTCCTGATAAGCACACTTCAAATATTTTATGCAAACATATTTTCCCATAATCATAAAATCATTGCTTTCCATGAATTTATGAAGAAATAAAAACTAAAAGGTAAAAGTTTTGATCTCCCTGAGAAATCTTTTTAAAATTCATGTATTAAAGTGAAAATTAGTCACCATTAAAAGTATATCTAATTCTTACTTTTATTGAAAAATATTTTCATACAGTTTTCTCTTGGCATAGCATCTACATTTAACTCTTGGAAAGCACATTTGATTCCTATGAATCAAATGGCAGATGTGCTTTTAAGAATAACAGTGAAATCCCAAGATTTAGAGCCTTGCTTTAAAATAGGTTTTCTTTAGCACAAAATTCTGATGATTAACTTTAAATGGAAAATCATTCACACCACAAATCAAATGCTCACTTATCATGACACATTGCAGCTCCATTTGTCTTCCAAAACAAAATAAGAAAATTACCAAAAGAAAAAAATCCAAGAAGATATAGGCTAAAAATTATCCTGTGAAACTGTCATAAATGATGATTAACCTATGGACTAACCACAGATGTGGGACACGGTAATTGAGGATATGGTGGAGAGTTTCTATGGTAACAGTTAGATATATGCTCCAGCATCTTTAGGGGTACTGTCACCAGGTGTGGTAAAAGTAAATGGATGAAAATCCAAATTGAGAAAGATGTTATTTACTAGAGGCTTAAGGAACTATTTATTCAAATAGAACCTGAATATTTCAATTTTTCATTAGGAACTAGCTGTTGGAAGTCAGGAGATGAAAATAAATACGGTGGTAGTATCAGTTTAGGCCATTCACAGGGAGGGCCCTCCCTGGTGGTGTCAGGGGTTAGAGCACAGCTCTATGAAGCTATCCCAGCCACTGCAGCACAAGTTCGATCCCAGGCCAGGGAGGTGACCCACATGGCGCAGCAGACATCTCCTGTCTCACTCGCTGCTCCCCTCAGCAGTGTTTCAGGAGATCTGCCTGTTCTGCTCCCCACTCTGTCTCTGGTGAGTCCTCTCACTGCCCTGACACCTCTGGCCTGTACCCCAGTTCTGTATGCATAAATATATCTTTAAAAAAATTAAAAAAACCTTTCAGTTGGATTTGCAAATAGCCAACGGAAAACAATGGGAGGAAGATCTTTGAGGTCCCACCATGAGGGTGACAGCGGGAACTGTCTGGTGGCCCAGGCACCAAATGCCATGACAGGAATCTAAGAATCTAAGTCAGAATTTGGAACATGATTTGGGGGGATTTTTTTTTAAAGATTTATTTATTTGTGCATACAGAACTGGGGTACAGGCCAGAGGCTCAGGGATGGTGAGAGGCTTCACCAGAGACAGAGTGGGGAGCAGAACAGGCAGATCGACGAAGTACACTGCTGAGGGGAGCAGTGGGCGGGTCAGGAGAGGTCTGCCACACCATGTGGTCACCTCCGGGGCAGGCGGGGATCGAACTCATGTGGAAGTGGTTTAGCTTCTCAGTGCAGTGCTTTAACCCGCTGAGTGACCAGGGAGGGCCCAAGTTTTAAGTTTTTAAAAATAATGTAATAGTTTATTTTTATATTATTTTGTGCTTTTTTCCATCTCAGTTGTAATTCCTGTGGTCTTCCCATCACCAAATCACCCATGTGCCATCACCGTTGTCCAGTGGACTGCCCCCCTTCCCAAGATGGGGGGACATTTTAAACAGAAGCGTTTTTCCTTCCTTTGAAATTAATTCTAATGTGGTTGCAGTTTTTGCTGTTCCTGTTGTTGCAAGAGACTGGAGATATAAAAGGGAAAAGGTAGGAAAATGATTTTGAAGGAATGAGGGAGCTGAGGGGAAGGGCCCTGGAGAAGAGAAGACCTTTTATCAGTATTCTAAGAGCAGTAAGGTCCAGGCCTGCAACCCAAGTAGTAAAGGACGAAGAAGAGGGGGTTGCTATTGGCAAGAGTTGGTCTTGTCCTTTGGACAGCTCTGGGCTGAACTAAGCAGCACATGAGTCTTCTAGAGTACAGTAAGTTGGTTAAAAATTGTCCCATGTTTAGATGTTTGCCTTTAGTTGTATGAGCACAGTCCACATCTGATCATACTCTCAGCTCGAACTTTCAAGGAGCTTGAAGATTTTCAGAAAGTTGAAAAGATTTCCAGAGAAGTAAACACACCCCCTCTTTTTATTGTACCGATGTACGCTGTAATAGGAAGAGCTTAAGATTTTAATATTTGATTGGGATCATCCTGGGGTTGGTATGTGCATGTTTTATGCTGCAAAATGAAGAAAAATAGCAGATATATTAATTAGGAGTTGTTCACACCTCTATTATTGACCCAAATAATTTCTTAGCTTGATTTTGTTAAACCAATTAAAAATGGATGGATGGGTTTGCACATCTGGCTTTCTGCTGCAAATAACAAACTAGTAATGTTTTCACGTAATGACAATTCGAATCAACACATACAGACCTAGACTCATAAACAAAGTGAATCAATATTCAACATTTTGAAATAACATAATTGATGCAAACTGAGACATACTTTACCTACGAAGTATGGAATTTATCTAAGAAAATAAGCTCACAAAATTAAATATATCTATATATTCTAAACTGATTTCAACAATGGCTTACAGAGGTAACTTTTCTGGTTAAATGCTGACATTATTGGAAGTCAGCAGAATTCTATTCTTTTATGTTCCATATGTGAGAAAATATGAAAAACAAGGTGCTTGATAAATATTTTTGTTGTAGACATTAAAAAATCAGTTAACTGGGCCCTCCCTGGTGGTGCAGTGGGTTAAAGCATAGCACTAAGTACCTAAAGCCACTTCCACATGAGTTCAATCCCTGCTTGCCCTGGAGGTGACCCACATGGCACGGGGCAGACCTCTCCTGACCCACCTGCTGCTCCCCTCAGCAGTGTACTTTGATGATCTGTCTGTTCTGCTCCCTACTCTGTCTCTGCTGAATATTCTCACTGCCCCTGTACCTCTGGCCTATACCCCAGTTCTGTATGCACAAATAAATAAATCTTTTAAAAAAAATCAGTTAGCCAAAGGATGTCTGTTGGGCAGGCAAAATGCAATGAATGCACTGCTCAAGCAAAGTAGTTAGACAATTCACAGCCCTTCACCTCCCCCTCTATCCTGATAGCCAAATCAAGAGAAAGTAGAATAGATCCATATATCAGAGAAGTCTATAATTATGTACCATTAAATACTAAGATAGGTGATAGTCATCATCTAATATATTAGATTTTATATATTAATTTTGTTCTATCCCTAAAGATTCAGCATGCTTAGTTTTAACAATGAACTTTGCTTAAATATATGATATTGGTAATTTCAAGAAAATTCAATAAACAGAAGAAACGAAGTAGCAACTGGTTTCTTCAGTTAAACTTACGCACTATGAAAATTTTAGGTTTAATTCTGCCTATATTTTTATTGGATTTTTTTAAACAGTAAAAACATATATAGTGAAACACCCTAACACACACACATATCTATATGCTATATATAACTTAGAAATCTCTATTCAATATTAATGTGCATTTTGCATGCTATTGTATTATCCTCATTAAAATATGCCCAAATTACAGTATTACCTTCTATGCCCAAAGAATGGTAGATAGTCAATTGTTTCTATTTTCCCATTGTTTCAGATATTTTTGGTTTCATAAATGATAAAATTAACCTAATCTGGATTTGCTCAGACACAGGTGGCTGATACTGAAAAACTGATTACTTTGAATATTTTAATACATTGAGTAAAAAAAAAATCATAAAAGTACTTACCCTTGCCAGCTATTGGTCAGCAAAGAAAAGAAAACCAAAATATATTTTAATGTGGTTGAAGCACTTTTATTTCTATAACTACTCATATTAATTTTATGTTATTTTCTGAGTTTCTACTAGGGTGATTCTGAAAGTTCTTCTTTCAAGGGATGAACAAGAAAGCGATGCTATGGAAAAAAAGGAAGGCGGTAAGGTATTGACCGAGAGAACAGCTGCTCTAAAGAACAGTCCAGGGCAGTCTCTGATAACGGTCTTGGTCAGTATCCTTATTCAGATGAGGGAGACACATATTTTCCTCCTTCTTTCTTTTCCCTTTCTAAATAAAACTAAGATATTAGGTTCTGCTCTGATGCAAAACTTTACCAACAGATTTGAATATAAGAAAGTCCTCATTAATAACTTTTTAGGGCTGGTTGGTCAGGAAGTAGACAATTCAATTCTACTTAGGCTGATCAACACTACCTTGACCATACACTGATATCTAATCAGAGAGATAACACATAGAATCTGAAAACATTATTTAAGCTCTTCATTGATGAGTTCTGTATTGTCTAATCATAGCATCAGTGATATATATGGTCCAGTGGTTCCCAACCACTGGTCTTGTTATTGTGAGTAGGATGGAGATCCATGAGCTCAACATGCTCCTTGGACACCCCTGAACTTAGGTTGTTAAGAATAAACCCTGAACCACAGATGAATGAGAGTGACATTTTCAAGTCACTGTAAGTCAGTGGTTCTCAAATGGGGGTGATCCTTCCCCTCTTCAACCCACCTCTTAAGATATTTTTGATTGCCACATAAGCAGGGAGGGTACTACTAGTGAGCAGAAGTAGGGATGATGCTAAACACCCCTCCTCACCAACCTCTGAAATACAGATTACTGGCCCCAAATGTTAAATGTGTTGAGGTGTAGAAATCTTGCTCCAGCTTTCAAAAAATTATTCTGCTTCTGGTCAGGTCAGAATTGTGTAATGAAAAACAACTTAACCCCTACGTGAAACAATTAAGAGTTGAGAAAAAATACATATGTTAAAACTAGTCCTCAAGACAGTAGGTATCAGGTAATATAAATGAGTGACAGATGTCAATTTCATACATATGGTGGTAGAGTTGGAGGAACTATGGTGGCATTATCTGTGGGGTATCCCGATATTACCTCAATTAAAAAAAGACTCCTATATAAAAAAGCAAAAAGAATTCATCACCATTAGATTCACACCACAAGTTGAAGGATGTTCTTTAAGAGGAAGTGAAATACCTACATGAGAGTAGAATGTGCTGAAAATGGAAGTGCATCAGAAAGTAAGTAACATTTTCTCATATTATTTTAGTTTCTTTAAAAGTTAATGGACTTTAAGGTAATAATGACAATAGCAATGCAGCGTGAGGCTTATATATGACTTGAACAGTTACACGAACTGAAGCCCAGAGGTTAAACAGGAGAAATGGACTGCAGGGTTCACAGACCACACGTGAAGAGGTATGACACCCTATGAGGAGAGTGACAAGTTTAAAGGTACAGATTTCAAAAACCAAACCCATAAAGGTGACGAGAGTCATTAATTATTTTGCCGAAAATGCCTTTTTAAAGAGATGTCCAGATACAATCCTGAAGGGTATCTGAAAAGAAAAGTGAGTAGTTATTGGATACATGAAAAGGAGACGAAGAAAATGTATGTTAAGATGTTACTCCCTTGGAGAAGAATCTTGAGAATAAAAGGCCGCTGAATGAAAAATCACAATTTGAACTTAATAAAGGCAAAGTTATCTATTGCAGGGGAAGCTAGGGAATCCTCACAGGGTGTAACAAGCTAGGAATGACATGTGGTTAGTGATTATAAAAGCTATATTTGAAAGGGTGTTTATCATTAATACATAATTCATTGCTAAACACATAATTAAAATGAAATATATAGTTCTTAATTTCTTAAATTAGCATACAAAAAATGACACAAATATTAGGGTATTCAGTAAAAGAAACCTAGCTTCATGACCTGGCTTATTTGGCAACAGAAAATATCCCTATTATCCCTTTGGTGATTAAGAACAACTATAGAAAGTGATGCTTCATCATTTTGGTATTCTGGAATCCTACCAATTCCAATTTGATTTTGTAATTTTTGTCCATTTGTATACAGGCTCCCTACATTAAAACTACAAAATTAAATTTTCTTTTGTGAAGTTTTATAGAATTTTCTTTAAATGCTCTTTTCATTTGAGAAATTAAAGATTTTAATGTTGGCCTAAACATCATGTGAAAACATACACTTACTATAAATGTTTACCAAAACAAAGGGAACTTTAATACACAAACATAATATTCAATTTTGTAATACCAATTATTGTTTAGATGCAAGAAATCCATATCCATCAATGGTTGCAAACTGTTTATCTTTTTTTTCATCCTGTTCATTGTTCTATTTGACTATGAGAAATTATATTCCTATGAAGATGGCAAATATTCATAACTTACATGCTATATGCACTAATTATAGTTTTTAAAAGTATAAACTCCAAATTTAGCATTTTTCAAAAATATGACATCAAAAGAATAGACTCAGGATGCTTCTGACAAAGGACAGAGGATGTTTATGTCCTATTGACAAAGTAAATTAGAATTAAAAGAAAATATCCTATGGCTATCAATATATGTGAACCAAAATACATGCCATGCTGGAAGGTAAAGCTCTCCAAAAGCTAATTCTGCACTAAACCATCCGCCTAACAAACATTCACTGAGTATAGTATCCCCATCAGTTTCTTCTTGACACATTCTAATAGAAGAGTCAACATGAAGAGAATTGCTGTGCTTGGGGAGATGTATATAAAACAAAATGAGATTTCCAGAGATACCTCAAACTTGGCAGATTCATGGTTGGAAATCACCCATACCATTTACTACAAATTTGTGTGAAAAATTAAATAACTGATTTTCTGACTACGAACACAAACTTATTTTATTCAATTAGGAAGCAGTTAATGATGTAAACTATAACATCGAACCAATTTGTCTTAGGTAATATTATATCTCATTAAGATTATTAATTGATAATCAAATTATTTTCTACAACTTACAAAGCTGAGCATCTGCATGGAGAGATCCTCCTTTAGGATTCAGCTTCTGGGTCTGAATTGCAGGAATGGGTTTATATGATTGACCGGTGGCCCTGTACATGGCCTGAACCCATAATATTCTATCCTGCTCATCATCACTGGCAAATATTACAGTGTCTCCTTCTTTAACAGCATTGAAGAACACCTGACCACCCTGGAGACCTGTGGGAGAAGAAAGACATTTTAAAAAACAAAATTGGTAGATCTCATTCATTAAATGATCTCAGATGGACTGATCTGAAATCAGCAACTCAATTCCTTCAATGAAACTTATGAGTGAGACAATGAGACTTAAGAACACAGGTCGAAACTTCAATCTATGGAAATTAAAAAAATACTTAGGGAACCATCTATGACACTGAACCATTATACAAGACATGAACACACAGCCCTAAAGAAACGGTCTGGTACTTCCAGTGAAGGAAGTCTTATCTACTGGCACATGTTTTGCTGTATAAGCAGGAGAAATATGACTTTAGCAGAATAAAATGCAGGCAAGGCAAACATGCTCTTCCATTTTATGCAATTTTACCTTTCCAAAATTCCTTTATAAAGAAGGTTATTATTTTGTCTTTGTGAATAATCACTGATTTATGTTTTTATTACTCTATATTTCTTAAATAGGCACCCTATTCATTGATTAGGGCCTATATTTAGAGCTGTCGTAAGACCTCTATGAGAACTTATAAAACATGAATGACAAGATGGAACGGAATTTCAACACAGAATTACCTGGATGAGGATCTGTATAATCCACAGTGTATCCTTCCAGTTGCATTAATTCTTGTGGCTCAGACTTTTTTTCTCTGTAACTGCACATAGCAAATGTGTACTGACTAACCTGCATGAGAAAAAGTGTGCAGATTGGTTGCATATACTTTATCTTGTTTTTTCTCAAGACACTCTGTCCAAATTTAAAAAAAAAATTGATTTGTAGAGACAGTGATTAAATACTAGTATTTCCCTAGTTCTGAAATTAAAGCATCTTTCTTGCGTCTGCTTGCAGTTACGCCTTCCATGCCTATGGGCTTGCATTTCCCAATTCAATGATCTGCTGCTCAAGATTCTACAAATCTTGATCCTATGATTATTCTATAAAAGTTTTTTTTTTAAACTATAGATTTTCAAATGGGCTTTAACAGGCTAACATACACTGTGAAATTCTAAGAGTGAGACTTATTAGAAGTAATCTGAAATTTCTATAATCATGGAACATTTGTAAGCATACTATATTTTAAGACTGGTAACCAAAGTAAAAACAAGCTCAATACACTTTGGGGGAATAAAATAACCTAGGGAAATGTCTATGCCACAGTGCCATTCTATAAGACACAAACACAAACCAATTCCATAGGAAGGTCCAGGACAGAGTAAGTGTAGGCAACTTCGAATGAACACTGCTAAGAACCACGCCGAGATCTCTCTATTCATTCAGCTTCTGCTTGGGAGCTGGTTTCATTCTCAGTGCTGGGTTAAAAAACAGCTGCCAATGACTGCAGTTACCTCTCCCATCAGCCCAGCTTAGGTCATAAGGGCTTTATTTGGAGCAATCACTATGGCTAAGTGCAAAAGTACTGATATTGCCCACCTTTAGGTCAAGAGCTCACATCCGTGGCAATGGATATTGAAGCTACAAGGGACAGACTCTTAAGAAATAACCCTCAGATGGGGTGATGCTTCTAGTGTGAGGTAAGAATGTTTGGTGAACAAATATCTAAGCTGCAAAAATGCTGTAATATAGAATTCCATGGAGAACTTTTGGTTAATGTAAATTACTTCCTTTTCTGCTTTCAATCATGAAACACAACTAAGGAATCCTAAGGGTAACTTTGAACAGACAAAGGTTATTTAATGAGACCCCAAAAGGAGCTAAATAAGAAAGAAAAGAGAGATTATATAAACCATATTAAAATTGATAGATGGTCCTCATTAGGGGTGCAATGAAAAAAATGAAGACAAAGTCAAAGAGAAGGTCTGAGGTAGTAATGTAAGATGTTACTGTTACTTTTAAATTGGAGAAGCATCATGTTCCCAAAAGTTCTGCCAAAAAGTAAAATGCATGAAAATTATTGTTGGACCTTATTGAACAGTTTAATAACATTTTAAATGAAATAAAAATTAACGTGACTGCCTCAGACCATTAGAAATGAGATTGGCAAAAATGAAAACGACTGCTGACCCAGTTGGGGAGGGCATGAGGAAATTCACCCCAGAGGAGGTAGGGCTGGCACGGGGCTGCTGGGAAGCACTGGCGTTAGGTGCTGTGGTGGTGAGAGGGGACTAGGTTGACTGGGGGCCACATCGGGCCAGAAGTGAGTGACCTGTGGGCTGGGGACTCTCTCTTCTCAGTCTTCTGTCCCCAGCCACACCTGATTCTCTCCTGTCTTTCTCCCCACTCTCCTAGTTTTTTTTCTTTCCATTAGAACATAGTGACTATGCTGCTGAAGATGTTTCTTGAATGGATAAATGAACAAGAGGCTGAGGAAGAGAACAAAAAGTAGAGATGCTCTACATACAGTTTTAGATTTTACCCCTTCTATTTATATTAATTTATTCATGCAGACAAGAACTGGGGTATAGGCCAGAGGTGTGGGAGATCCCACAGAGACAGACTGGGGACAAAAAAGGCAGACTGACTGAAATACACTGCTAAGGGGAGCAACAGGTGAGACAGGAGAAGCCTGCTGTACCATGTGGGTCAGCTCCCTGGCTGGGGATCACACTCATGCTGCAGTGGCTGCGAAGAGCTTCACAGTGCTGTGCCTTAACCTGTTGTGCAACCAGGGAAGGCCCGAGTATGTATTTCAATGGCCATTAAAAAAAAATTTTGTTTTCTTCAAGAATAAAAAAAAGATTAATCTCTAAGACTCTTCACATCAATTATGTTCATGTGGCCATGCAGTGAAGAATTCAGATTTGATATGTAACCAACCTAAAATGCTAAAAATTGACTTGCCATTTAGATGGAGCCTCAGAAACCAGGTGTTAAAAATCTCTAAGTTGTGTAATATGCTTAGAACAACTTTGCTTTTTTCCTTAAAACTGAAGTACATTGTAGTTACTACTTTATACTTCATTTTGAAGTTCTTTCTCACTAGCTTTAGGTAATGCACTGAATTCTTAACATATTAACTATGTAACATTTTCAGTGTCAATTTAAAGATATTTGGAGGAATTAGAAAAACAAAACCCGAAACAAAAATACCTCTGGCTTCAGAGGCAATCATGGCTGTCTAGAGTCACGACCACTGATATAACAACATATTACTTAATTTGTACTTTAAAAAAATACTGTGTTTAATAGTTCACAAATCACCCAACAGTTCCAGAATCTCAGGTAATTGGGTCTAGAGTTTTCAGGAAAAGTACAGATGGAAGAGGAACAAAATACCAACAACTAACAAAGCTGTCACTGATAGGAAATCTGACAACTGAAAAAGTAGTTTGGCTTTCGAAGACATTGGCCACAGAAGCGAGTAACTAGGAATACTATCCAATGGACTCATTGATCCCTGGTTCTATTTCCATAAAATAGGGGAGAACTTTGTGCTGTTTTACTTCCTCTAGTATCCGCAAGGCCATGTATCATTCCCGAATCAACCCCACAATGAAACTGCAATGCATGAAGTGAAGCATTCTGACAGTATTAACATCTTGAAGATACTAGTTTGCTAGCTAGTGTCCAGATTAAGAACAAGCTGGAGAAGGGGCCCTCTGAAAGAATGTCAGTATAGGTTAGCACCAATAGTTAAAAGATGCTGCTTTTCACAGCATTAAGAAGCTAAAGCCACTTGAGCGTGAGTTTGATCCCCACCCTGGAGGTGACCCACATGGTGCAGCAGACTTCTCCTGACCTGCCTGCTAATCCTCTCAGCAGTGTACTTCATCAGTTAGCCTGTCCTGCTCCCCATTCTGTCTCTACTTAATCCTCTCACCACCCCTGGTCCCATCTTCAGATGGGGCAGATTTGCAGTCCCCACTTGGTTCCAGCATTACGTACTAGGAAAGTAGATAGAAACTGTGGTCTGACCTATTCTGCATTGATTTTTGCTTATAATCTTCCTTGCATATTACGGATCAAGGCATATATACTATACTGCAACTGCGGTTCCTTTCAGTGGAAAAGCATAATAAAAAATTCAATTTCTTTGACTCAATCCACATAGATTTGTTGAGAGCTGAGACAGATTTTTTTTTTAAAGATTTATTTATTTATGTACACAGAACTGGGGTACAGGCCAAAGGTTCAGGGGAAGTGAAAAGATTCACCAGAGACAGGGCGGGGAGCAGAACAGGCAGACTGACGAAACACACTGCTGAGGGGAGCAGTGGGTGCAACAGGGATCTGCTGTGCCATGTGGGTCCCTCCCTGCACAGGGATCGAACTCGTGCTGTGGTGGGTGCAGATCACTGCAAGTGAGCCACCATGGAGGGCCCGATATAGATTTTTTTTTTAAAGATTTATTTGTGCATACAGAATCGGGGTACAGGTCAGAGGCTCAGGGGTGGTGAGAGTCTTCACCAGAGACAGAGTGGGGAACAGAACAGGCAGATGGATGAAGTACACTGCTGAGGGGAGCAGCGGGCGGGTCAGGAGAGGTCTGCCACGCCACGTGGTCACCTCCGGCTTTAGATTCTCAGTGCTGTGCTTTAACCTGATGCGCCACCAGGGAGGGCCCAAGATAGATAAATTTTAACCCGAGACAGTAGAAAGTCAGGTTTCAGTTAGCCCCACCTGTGACAGGGCACCTTAAGTCCTGGGGCCCACCGTCTGCATCTGGTTTGGGAATCCCATTTGTTCTCAATGGCCAACCTGCTCAACACCTGTCTGTGTCCACATGTGTACATGCTGCCTGAGTTTCTAGCGACCACAGCACTCAGGGCTGCAGGGATCATGTTAACAGCTGGCAGCTTAGCAACTGCCACCATCTAATTTCAGTAAAGATTAAGGTTTAAAATATACTTAGCTGGAAACCTTCTTGGCAGAGGCCAAAGGTGCTGCTAGAGTTATTAAAAATAAAATAACCCAGAGCTAAATTTAATCAAAGGCAAATGAATATATCTCCCATATCTGGTGGACTTGAGGGGACTATCTATTTATTAACTGTCACAACCTGAGGGAGGTGGGGTACAGGGGCAGAGTAGAGTGTAGAAAGGCCCAGCAGACTGTGATGGAGGACTGCAGGCTGCTCAGTGGTGTCTGTACTTCATACTGTATGTACTTCAAGTCACATACAGCAGTGTAAACCAATGATGCCTTAGTAAAAAATTTTGACAAAATTAGCAATTAGAATATTAGAGAAAGGCAGTCTTGAAGTTCAGAGTGATCTGCCTGTTTTTGTATATTTAACAAAGATTCACTCAGTTTCTACCACAGTAGCTTATAAGAAAAACAAGCTCCCTACTTTCATGGTGTATATATGCTACGAGGGAAAAGATTAACTATTACATTAAGTCGATTATTTTGATTAGAGATAAACGCTCTGAAAAATACAGAACAGAGCAATGACATAGGGATGGAGTTGGTTATGTTTTAGTGTGGGAAGGCATAAAGGACGCATTTGAGAAGATAACGGTTGACCTGATTTTCTAAAGAACGAATGTCACAGGGAAAGTGAAAGCAGAATTCAGGATTTCTACAGAGAGGCTTAGGGATAGTCAAACAACCTGGGTGGACGAAAGGTAGGAGACTTAATTCAAGGGCAGATTAACACAGACATTGCCCTAAAATGATAAAACTGCTGTCGAGTTATTTGAGGTACTCTGGAAGATGGGTGACTGGGGGTGTCAAATTCTAATTCTCAGCACTGAAACTAATCTGAGGGCAGAACATGGGTCTTG